GGATGGGTCAAAGGGTGATTAAAATTTCAATTACCCACTAGTTATAAAATAATAATAAATAAACCTTTCTATATTCAAATAAATGTGATGCAGCCAAAGCTGAATTCAGAGGGAAATTATAACCTTAAAAGCTTATATTATTTTAAAAGATTATGTAGATAAATAAAATAGGCATTTGCTTCAATAAACTTGTAGAAAACGAACAGAAAAGCTACCTCAAGGTAACTAAGAGGAAGCAAATAATAAAGATAAAAGCAGAAATTAATTACCTGGTAAATCAGAGAACTGAGAAACAAATTTAGGTGTGTTTTAAACAAGACATAACAACATTTCCTCAGTATGGCATATAAAACCCTTCATGACTTGGTTCCTCAGAACCTGTTAACTTTTTATCCCCCTGGCAATGCCCCTGCACACCTGGCTCCTGCCCTTTTGGGCCCCTTGCTATCAGTACTCAGGGTCTCAGCTCATTCAGAAAAAAATTTGAGATAGGGCTGGCAACACTGCTTCTCAGCACTCTCGTTCCTTACTTTCCACTGCCTCCGACTAGCACAGAACGCCTGCCTGCAAAGCCCAGCTCAGTGTCCCCTGCCTTCCAGGCCAGCTTTGTGGATCCATAGGACTCCAACAGAAGTCAGCAGCAATGAGCACTGCAGACAGAGGAGCAACCCAACATCTGTGGCAGAGTGGATTTTTTTTTTTTTGTAGTTGTAGATGAACAACATGCCTTTATTTTATTTGTTTATTTATGCAGTGCTAAGGATCAAACCTAGTGCCTCACACACAAGCACTCTGCCACTGAGCTACAGCCCCAGCCCCTGTGGCAGAGTAGATGAATGTGTTAATGGGTAAAGTAAAAATCCAACTGTAGGGGTGGAGGAAATTCAACTGGCTGGTGGAGGAAAGCTGGCTGGTGGAGGTGGCATTGGACTGGCCCCTGAAGGAGAAATAGGGTTTCAGCCCACAATGGATCAGGGGAAAGAGCATCGCAGGAAAAAGGAAAAGGATGAGCAAACACAGAGCTGTGTGTGTAAGGACAGAGCTGCCAGGTGCAATGGCACACGCCTGTAATTCCAGTGGCTTGGGAGACTGAGACAGGAGGATTGCGAGTTCAAAGCCTGCCTCAGCAATAGCGAGGTGCTAAGCAACTCACTGAGCCCCTGTCTCTAAATAAATACAGAAATAGGGCTGGGGATGTGGCTCAGTGGTTGAGTGTCCCTGAGTTCAATCCCCAGTACCAAATAAATAAATAAAGAAGAAGGGCAGAGTCATCTGGTGGGATGTCACATGTGACTGTGGTATGGGAGACTGATGAGTATGGAAAGATCAGGCAGGTCACAAAGAAACTTGAATGACACATCAAGGGATTTATTTGTTATCCCTTGTGGGGTGATGGGGAGTGATCAGAAGCAAGATTGTGAGGTTGGGACTTTCTGATGGTCATCCCTGGGGGTGAGGTGTAACAGTGTAAGGCCGAGGCTCTGGAGTTGCTGGGGACAGGTGGGTGTGCAGCACGGCTCTGGAGGCCCGGGGCAGGGTGTAAGGGCCCCAGCCCTCGGTCTGGTTCTCTTCAGTGACCCATTTCCTGGCTCCTGCATGCCCCTCTGCCCCCCACCCCACACGTACACAGCTAGGGAGGGGCTGGGAGGCAGCTCCTGGCAGCTCCCCTGGTCTCCATGGATAGAGCTACACAGCTCCATCCATCTGTTTGGCCCAGCCCCTGTGGGGCCTCTGTGGTTAGGTCTTTGTGTTTACACAGTGGCCCTCTTTGTCCTGAGCAGCCTCCCTCCTACCCTCCCACCTCCCTCTTGCCCTTCTTTCTCTCCCTCTCTTCCCTCTCTCTTCTGTGTTACAAGAAGCACCAGCTTTGCAGAGAAAAAGGCCAGGGCTCTGACCTTGGCTTTCCCCACTGAGTCTCTGCATAACCCTAAGCATCTTGCTCCTCCGAGCCCCTCCCTGGTTAAGTCCATGAAAAGGAGCCATTGTAAGGAACAAACTTGTGGTGCAAACTGGTCCAGTACCCAGGGCTAAGACCCAAACAATAAGTGATGTTCACGAGAACCCCTACCCAACCTTCACTCTGTTCCCTGGACTTTTCTTACTTTTCCACCTCATCCTTACCTTGTCTGGCCAAGAGGCTACCATTCTCCCATTTGACAGATGAGGAAACCAAGGCCTAAGGATAAGGCTGGCTTCACAGGCATACGGCCTATAGAATTACATGGGGTCCAAGCTTGGAAGGGCCTTGAATTTTGTTTAATATTCTGCTGTCACAATTTTGCAATTCTCAATAATTTTTGAAAAAGAGTATCCACATTTTCATTTTGTCCTATGTCCCACAAATTATATAGCTGGTTCTGCTTGTAGGGGAAGTAGAGTGGAGGTTTTCCTAGGCTTGGAGCAGGCTTTCTATTTCTCAGAGCTGCCTCCTTGGGGGCCTGCATTCTGGCCTGATTGAGAGCCAGAGCCACAAGGCTGCAGTCAGCATCCGAGCCCTGGCCCCTGCCTGGAAATCTGAGGAGCTCAGTTCCTGGCCTGCAGGCTGCTGTAGCAGTCCAGGGAGCAAGGAAGGCCAGGCTGCTGGAGCCAGCCTAGCCCTGTGTAACTGGAGCCACCAGTGTGGGTCCCAATAGCTTGGTCTAGCCATTTCTATGGGAACTCAGCAGGGCCTTCCTTCCCACTGGGTGCCATTCCAGGGCCAGGAGACTCACTGCAGGCTCACTGCATGACTTTGGACTTTTACTTCACCCTCCTTAGCCTCAGTTTCCCTAAAATTAACATAAGAATGATAACACCCATCTCATGGGCCAAGGAGGGGGCTGCCTTAACCATGACTAGCACAAAGAATGTGATCACAAAATGGAGTCCTTCCTCCTTCACTCACATCAGATACTCATGGAGGCTGACAATGTGACAGGGACAGTGCGGGGTACTGGGCATTTATCTGTGTGCAGGAAGGACCCAGGCCCTACCTCAAACATGTTCTCAATAAAGGAGGAGATAGGCACTGAGAGAGACAGCAGTGTGGCAAGTGGCAGGGCACCTGAGCTAGGTCTTAGAGGAGCTATGGCTGGAAGCCAGGAGGAGGTCAAGAGCCGAGAGGAGATGTTGCAGGAAGAGGGAGCAGCAAGTATCAGGCAGGAGGTGAGCAAGGGCTCTGCTCTTTAGCCCAGCCGGCAGAAGGCAAAGCACAGAGGTGGTGCCCATAGTGCCAGTCTGGAGCTGGGCTTTGTCTTGAGGATGTCAGAGTCTTCAAGCAGTGTGAGGCAAGGATGGCAGTGAGGAGTGGCAGAGACACCCCCCTTAGTCTGCGACAGGATTAGAACCTGGGCCAGGCAAGGACTCCACCCCAGTATGCAGTTGCAGAAGTTTCTCTCAGGGGAAGTGAGAGACGTGTAGAGAGGGAAGATGAGAAGGCCCCGGGTGAGCCAAGTGCCTCCACAGGGCTGGAGAGGCAGGAAGCCTCTTAATGCATGGTGGGAGCGGGGAGCCATGCTCTGCTCTGCCCCTCCTGACCCACTGCTGCTAATGGAGCCCTCCCCTGTGCCCCCATGGCTCCATTACCCACCTCGTGGGGACTATTATTGTGCCTGGGCCTTCACCATTAGGCTGCTTGGTTCCAGAGAGACTCTCTTGTTGCTATTCTACCCCTTTAGAAGGCACTTGCTGTGTGACTCACTGGGCCTCAATTTCCTGGTTGGATCAATGGTTCTAAATTCTTTTAGCCATAGAATCATCTATGTATTTTCAACAAATTACCAGGAAATGCAAATAAGTAAAAATACAAAGCACAAATGCATAAGTTGAAGTGGAATGGGAGGGTCCCAGATAGCCCCGGGAAGGAGGACTTTGCTGTGGAATGTGAAGCCCATTGGACTTGATGACTTTCAAAACTACATGAAGGAAGTGCCTGGCAAAGTGTCAGGAGATCTCAACCCCCAGCTCTTCTTGGAAAGAATACAAATCCTTGAACCTGGGCGGCTCAGGATGATGGGCAAAACCCTGAAAAAAAGAACTTTTAGACAGGCCAGCAAATAAGGTTATTATTAACACTCCATTTTACAGAAGAGGAGACTGAGGCTCAGAGAGAAGTCATAGGAGAAGTGAGGCCAGACAGGAATCTGAATCAGAGGAGGTGGGGTTCAAGGACAGGACCCTTTACTATATCATCTGATGAGCAGGTCAGGTGTCAAAAGTCTCAGGGATGTAGTTCCTTTGGCTATAGAGTAGGGGAGTTGGACCGCAGCAGAGGACGCACAGCCCTGGACCGAGTACTTTGTGGTGTGTCTGCTAGAAGCTGAGGCTGGGCTTGGGCCTTCATCTTGATATCAAAGGGGAAACAGCTGTGATAATAGTTTTGTTGTTGTTGTTTTGTTTTGTTTGTTCTGTTTGGGTACTGGGGATTGAACTCAGGGACACTCAACCACTAAGCCACATCCCCAGCCCTATTTTGTATTTTATTTAGACACAGGATCTCACTGAGTTGCTTAGCACCTCACTTTTTCTGAGGCTGGCTTTGAGCTCACCATCCTCCTGCCTGAGCCTCCTGAGCTGCTGGGATTACAGGTGTGCACCACCACACCTGGCACAATAGAAGTTTTGACAGCTTGAAAGGGAGAAGAGAGAGAGGGGATTGGAAGAGATTACAGTGCCCAAAAGGACTTACCCACACTGGGACCCTAAGGCCTCGGCCCCACAAACTGGGGATGTGGGAATAGCTAGGCCTTTGGAAACTGCATGGATCAGCCTGGAAAACAGGCGGAGGAGGAAGGACAAGGGACCTTTGTGTCTCCCAAGCAAATCCCAGGGACTGCAGATGCTTCTTAGCCACAGAGCCTTGTATATCCTCCCTGCTCTTACTCCTGCAGGGATGCAGCCAGCATCCTTTGGGGCCCCTACTGGGCTTGGCAGCCAGGCCCCTGTCAGCTGATCTGCAGCCCAGTCAGGCCCCAGGACCCTGGGAAAACTCCTTGGCCACAGGAAGAAGCCTATTCTGCACTTGTCTAGCCACTGGACCATCCAAAGAGCCAATAGATGGACAGTGGTAGGTGGGAGGATGAGTGGGATGGCTCCCTTTCACAGCAAAGAGGCCCTGAGAGGACTGGAACAGTGGCTGAAAGTCCCTGATCCCTGAGTCAGTGCCAGAACCTACACTCCTGACTTCTAAACCAGAAATGAGGCCGGGTAAGGAGGCTCTCCTTCATTCATGCTTACACATAAGCCAGGACACAGCACCTCCCAGGACCTTTAGGATAGCAGCAGGGAGAAGGGCCCCCTGGTCCCTGCCCTCCTGAGCTCAGACTGGAGAGGGACAGAAACACGGTCTATGACTACATAAGGCCATCAGAGTGGGGTTGAGGGCAGAGAAGGGAATTAAAGCAGCTAAAGATGAGAGACCAAAAAGAATGAGGAATCTGGTGACCTGCTGGTGGAATGAAGGAAGGGGAAGGAGAGCACAGGGACAGGACCTCCCTTCACTGCTAGGGGCTGGAGAGAGAGGCAGAGACCTGAGTGTTCCCTGGGCTTTCTGGTCTCAGCGTGGTGACCTGAGTTGGTCCCATCAAGGAGAACAGGTGCTGGGGCAGGAACAGGATAGAGGCGGCGAATCGTCGCAAAGGTCCCTCAGTGGGTAATGACCGGAACCAGGCCAGCTTGCAAACCTAGTAAAACTTTGGCGTCTCTCAGTATCTTTTCTCACAAGTTCCCTGCGCTCCCTGCTCCTCTGAGTGAGTCTGACGGCTTCTTCCTTCTGCCGGGCCAGGTCGTAGGACCGTCGGTCGCCGCCTGCGCTTCCTGCCGCAGCACCCTTTGCGGGTGCGCTGACCCCACGACTGTGGGGCTGGGCGGCGTCCCCAGAGTGGTGCCGGGTGGCGAGGTGGCGAGGTATCTACTCGGGCGTGTGGGGGCGGTGCCGGGGTCTGTCCAGAGTCCGCTCCGCCCCCGGGGGCCAGGCCGCAGGGTAGGGAGCGAGGTGGGGCGGGGCGGGGGCCGCGGCGCTCCCAGGCACGTGGGACCCTGCGCAGCGGCAAGACGTCGGCACCGGCCCCGGGGAACAGCGGCCACAGCACCTGGGGCGGACGAATTCAGCGTGGAGGCAAGGGACAGGCCGCCTAGTGGGAGATCGAACCCTCGGAGAGGTTGGCGGGCGCTGCCCAGGGACGCTGCCGGTCCGACTGACGCGGGTGCGGACTCGGCGCTGGGCGAGGAATGGGCCGTGTGTCATTGCCCGACCAGGGCATGGTTCCGAGCCTGAGTGTGGCGCGTAACTGGACGGCGGGACGCCCCGTGAATCCGTGATCTTTGTCTTCGCTGGCGCGCAGATCTCAGTGAGTGTGGATAGCCACCGCGGACTAGGGTGTGTATGTCCGCCTATTGGGAAAGTCTGTGTGTCAGTGAGTGCCCCTGGGGAGAGAGTATCTGAACTTGTGTGTGTGTGCGCTCTAAACTGTGTTCTTTGGTGTAGGAGCCCCTGGGGCAATGAGACCGACCAGAGACCAGGCAGTTCCCAAGACTTGCTGCACTCCTGTCCTCCCCCCAGGATCGCTCTGGGTGGCTTCCACCCACCCCAATCCTGGGCGTTGGTAAAACTGGGAAGGCAGTAGCACGGGGGCGGAGGAGGGCAGTGGTGAGGAAGAACAGTTAAGACTTTAATCTGTCCGCAGACTTTTTATCTGGCAGGTGGTGCCATAGAAAGGGTCAGTCAGGAGAAAGGCAGTGCCCCCTCCCACTAGGACAGCCAGTGTCAGGCTTGGCCCCCACCCCCCATCCTCCAGGGCGTCCAGCCCAAGTACCAGGTCCTGCTAGAAACTAGCTCTGCCAGTTTGGGATTCATGGAGATGGAGGATCTCTATTCCTCTCAGCATAGCATCGGAAGATTCCCTGGGTCCACAGTCTTGCTTTGGAGCTAGGCTAGAATATGATGAGCTTTTGAGGATCGGATTTGAACCCCAGGGAAGTCTCAGTTTTCTGTGGTGAGAAAAGGAGAAAGGAGGTTCTTTGAGCAGCTACCCTCTAAAAGGACCAGTAAGGTCTTGCATGTGAGAGTGTGAGGTTAGGGGGTGAGGGAGAAGTCCTGGCACAAAAGGCCTGTCACTCTTTCTCCTCTCTGCCAGGGCTGACCTGGGGCATAGACAGAGGGTTGGGGAGCACTGGGCAACCCTCAGAAATGGTTAATGAACTTGGCCTAAAGAGTGTGGCTGTGACCTCTCCATTCCTGTCCCCATCTTGCACAGGATGCACAGGGCCCAGTTCCCCCAAAGACAGCTAAGAGAACACCAGGTCATCACCAAGATCTCATGAGCCCAACAAAAGCTTTGGTTTCATGGCTGTAACCCATTATGTAATTGTGCCTCTCTAAGTATCAGTTTGCCACCCATAAATTGGGAATGTTGATCCTTGCCTCTTTGAAGGAGATCAGACCTTTGAAGAGATTGGTGGGCACAGCCCAGGGACGCTGCTGGTCCGACTGGCACTGGTGCAGACTTGGAGCTGGGCAAGGAGTGGGCTTAGAGGATTCTTAAGATAGAGGCCAGGAAAGGGCTTGTGTATGTGTGTGTGTGTGTGTGTGTGTGTGTGTGGATTGTGGATTGAACCCAGGCCTTGTGCATGCTAAGGATGCACTTTACCACTGACCTACACTCCCAGCCCAGTAAAGGGCTTTGTCAACTCAATGCAGTGCATGGAGAGGAGCATGATACTCAAAGGTCTTTTGAAGAGCAAAATAGAACACAGATGCAACCGCAAGGGATTGTGTTGGTTATGGGAATTTAATTATTGAATGCCTTCCTCTCCTCATGACCCCCTCTACAAAGATAGCTTGATAGTAATAGTTTTTTTTTAAAAACCCTCATTTTATCCTCCAATGGCCCTGTGAGAAAGAAATTATTATCTCTATGTTGCAGATGAGGAAATAAAGAGATTTGGGGAGTATCTTCCCTGAGATCACAAAGCCCAGTGAAATCTGGGCCTCCTGCCTACCTGCCCCATCCAAGACAGAAGCCCCATCAGGGCAAGGCAAATCCTCTACCTTCAAAGCCGAAAGGAGTTTGAATCCTCTCCTGGGAACCTGTTTTCATGGCTTACCCAGCTGCTGACAAGATAAGGCCAGCTCAGTTCTGCTCATAGGGCCAGGGGAGCCTTGCAGATCTGGTGAGGGGAGGGAGAGGTACCCCTGATGAAATCCTTCTTCTCCTCTAACTACATTCTATAAGCCTTTTATCTCACACCTTCCTCTTGGGCTGCCCTTGGAATCTCAGGCCTGTTCTGTCCCTACCACTGGGTATTGATGGAGGAAAGCTAATGCAGGGAAGCTGGCTATGGGACTCTCCTTGAACTCTGTACCCATCCCTGAGAGAGGCCAGTTGCAGGTCGAAGCTGAGTCATCCCTGCTTTCTTACCCAGTCCCTATCACCTGGCACACAGAGGGTGTCCTTGAACAAAAGAGTTCTTATACTTCTTCATCACCCAGTCTCCTAGGCCTGGGTCATGTGTGTCCTGGGATAAATAGCAGGAATCCCTAGTGGGAGGGTGAGCAACCCAAGCCCTTCTGGGTAGCTCTTGATCTTCCATCCTGGTACCCTGTCACTGTCACTGCAGTTCCTCAGAGAAGGGGTCTGTGCACTGGGGGCCTCCCTTAGACTTGTATTCCTATGGCTTCCTGGTGAGTGTCCAGCCTCCCAGCCCACTTTGTAGGAGGAAGACTTACCATGGTGGGTTGGGGTGCTGAGGAAGGATGCTCCCCATCTAGCAGGGAGTCCAGGGTCAAAGAACAGTTCTTACCATATTCTTGTATGTCTCCTCCCTCATCTCCCTCCCTCCAGACCCCCTAGTTCTGTCTACCTTACATGTGGCACCATCTTTGTAAAGGTCAACTCTGACCATGACCTTCCCCTTTTAAGCCAGAATAGTGGCCCAGCTCCTCAGCCTGGTCTTTGAGCTCTTTTATATGAGTTCCTTGGGCCCCCACACATTCCATGCCACCTAAAGGTCCATGCCAGCCACACACAACCTGTGTTTCCTTAACAGGCTATACTCTTGCCCGCTGAGTCTCAGCACTTATATCCTCTGCCTTCTGTGTCCTCCCACCTCTATGTCCACCTAACAAACTCCTAATCATCTACCAAGTGCCAGTTCTTCTGGGAAGTTCTCCCTGAGCACCTCTGGCTGGCTGGGAGTTCCTCTGGGCTCCATGGCCCCTTGATTGTGTCTTCATCACCCAGGTGGACTGGGTCCATGTCAGTGTCTCTTCCCTAGCCAGAATGGGCATTCCTCAAGGGCCCTATAGAGCATGATGTGAGGCTGAGTTCACAGGATCCCTGTAAAGCAGGGCACACAAGGGCACTGGCGCGTGCTTGCTGGGACTTCATGGCTCCTGGGAATGTGACTTGTGATTACTCTGAGTGCAGACTCCTGTAGTTCTGCGGATCTCAAACCAAAGCCCATCAGAACCTTAAGTAACAAGACTGAAGAAACAGCACTCACTCCCAGAAGAGCTGGACTCTGAGAACCAATGAACTTGGAATCCTGGAGCAGAGACCATCTCAGACACACAGCCTTGCATAGATCCCATTCTGTGCTTTTGTCCTTTTCCACTTGGGGTCTCCCATCTCCTTTCCTCCCAAGCTGGACCCTTCCTGCTCACCTTCAAACCTGATCATAGCTCCTCTTCCAGGAGCCTCACTGACTCCTGACTTCTGACCATGACTTCTGCCCCTCTGGGGGCACTAGAGAGGGACCCAGTTGAGAAGTAGCACAGGCTCCTGGAATTCGGTGTCTCCACTATGATGGGCAGATGCAGCCTCCACACCAGGACAATTTGCCAGCACCATGGAATGCCCACCTGCCTCTTGTCTAACTTGTTTCTCATGAGCTATTCCATGGAGCAGTGATTCTCCCCATTTGACCATCAAAGAGCGCAAAGCTCAGAAAGAAAGACTGACTTGACCAAGAATGCACAGCATAGATGTTTCCAAGTTGGAGCCCAAACACAGGGTCTTGCCTCTTGAGTCTGACTGGCAGAGTTTTGTTGTGATGGATAGGAGAGGAGCCCAGGGCATTGTGTTTCTGAACCTGTTCAGTTCAGGAGCTGGTTTCCATAGCCCTGTGCAGGGCAGTGCTGGGCCTGGGTGTGTGGGGGGGGTGGTTTGGTCCCAGCCTGGTTGAAGAAGGCTCTGCCTCTTTAGCATCTCAGTTTCCTGATCTGTTCGCCTGGCTGATCTGAAACTCGCCCACTCGCAAGCTCTGACCTCAGCCTCCGTGTGAGGTCCCCACACTCTGTGGGGGTTCCCAAGAGGACAAGAGTTTCAAGTGAGGTTTACAGAGCTCAGGGGAGGCTTCCTACTGCACCATGGGTCACCTGGGTCATCTGGGTCACCCATCATCTGTGTCCCCAGGCCAGCTCCTCCTACTGCAACATGCCAGGCAAGGCTGAGGAGCCTGCTGAACATTGACCCCTTGGAGGACATTTGGAAGGGTACAGGGTGACTTCTTATCTCCTAATCCCGTGCAGCCCAGCCTTGTCCTCCACTGTTCCCAAACTACAAGGATGATGAACAGTTCTTGTCGTCTTTGCCCTGGTTTCTGCTCACTCTCTTCCACTCTAACCACCTGACTCCTACTTATCTTGTAAAATGCAGGTAAGGGTCCTCGCCTCCAGGAAGCCTTCCCTGACCACTCTTTCTTCCCTGCTAGGGGAAGCTTCTATTCTTCTATCAAGAGGAGGTTGAGAAGCTGGGACTGGGGTTCAGTGGCAGAGCACTTGCCTAGCATTGGGTTCGATCCTTAGCACCACATTAAAAAAAAAATAAAGCGATTATTAAATTATTTTTTTAAAAAGGAAGTTGAGATTTGGGTTTTGGAATTGCAAGACTTGTCCAGGACCTACAACTGGGAATGGCAGGATTTCCCATCTGCCCAGTACTCCCTCCGGCCCCCTTGACGCCATTCTAGGCCCATTGATTGTGTCTTCATCACAGCATCCCGCCCCTGGCAGCAGGGGTCTTCAGAGTAGTGACAGGACATTCTCCCCTGCCAGGCTGGACAGGGTCCACCAGTCAGGCGGGTGGCACATTCCAGAGCCACCCTAGTGGAGGAACTGGAATGTCGTCTAACCACCCTGGAAATTCCGCAGCCAGCCTGGGAACTGCCTCTGTCCCTCCTCCTGGCTTTGGGCTCACTAGCCTAGGACCACAGAAAGACCCAGATTAGGGTAGGGACAGAGCCAGGTCAGGAAGTAGGCTAACCCCCCCCCACCATAGGCTTGGCTTGGCTCTTTACTTCCTGGTGACCTTGGCCAAGACCTTGAATTACTCCTTTCTGGTCTTAGTTTTTCTATGTGTGAGATGGGTGCAGTAACCATCTGGCCACTTCACCCTAGGGAAGTACTAAGAGGAAGAAACGTCAGTTGGGCACTCCTCTGCTGGAGACCTGACCAGACAGAGCCATGGGGCTCAAAGGGGGATGGTCAACTTCCTGTAGATAGGGCCTGGATCTTGCCGGATAGGAGGCCATGGTCAGAGACATAGTTTCTGAAGACAGATCAGAGTTTTCTGCCATTGCTAGTTTTGTAATGGGGGGAGGGGTGTTATTTAGCCCTTCTAAGTCTCAGGATTAAATGAGAAGAGGTATATGAAGCTGTCTAACACAGAACTTGACACAGACAGCACTTCACTTGTGTTACAATAGAGTTGTTAGAAGATAAAGAAGGCTGTTCCCAAGCAAGATATGCCATATGACTGCTTTTGCTGTGCTGAGACTAGAGGATGAGGGTGGAGTTTTCTGGAGGGATGGCAGGAACCAGATCAGCCAGGTCCTTAAGTGCCAGGTTAAGGAGCTTGGACATTATCCTGAAGGACTTAGGGAGCCATGGAAGGATTTTGAGCTTCATAGCACATGGTCAGATTTGAGTTTTAGGAAAATTATGTGATTGCAGCATCAAGGCTGGACAGAGGGTCAGGGGTGGAGGCAAGGAGTCCTGTGAAGAGGCTAGTGATGGTCTGGAAGAGAAGCACAGGGTTGTGGGTGTGCACAAAACACACAGGGCTTATCTGGAAGACTCTCTTGCTTGACTGACAGGACTTGGTGAGTGATGGGCTTCCAGTGGGATGAGGAGAGCGAAGGTGAATCCTGAAAGGCTGGTGGAGGCCCTTCTCAGAAACGGGTGGAGGCCCTTCTCAGAAACAGGGGGAATGACCTTGAAGAAGTGCTATGCTCCTCCGCTGACTGAGACATCTCCTCAAAAGGAGAGAGGTGTGTGCCTGGGAGGAGTGGGGTGAAGAGATGAAGCTCTTCATCTTGTCACTGGATTCTAGAGCAGACAGGCAGATAATCATCAGCCTGCTGGCCCATGTCACACAGTGCCCAGAGGCACTTCCTTGGCTCCTTCCTTGCCCTACACCTGTAGCCACTCACCTCTCCACCTCCATTCTAGGGAAATGAAGCAGATGGGAAGAGATCTTTCCAGAAAGGCACATTCTTCTGCTGTGTCGTGTCTGAGGTCATGGGTGCTGGGACTTGCCCATAAAGAGGAGTTCCTCCACTGCCAACCATCCCCTCCTGGAAGCCCAGGGTTTGGTGTGTATGAGGCTCCCAGGTGAGACGAGAAGGCCCAGGTTCTAATCTCAACTCTGTCCTTGATTTACCCTGAGGCCTTGGGACTGTTTCCTCCTCATCAAAAGCAGGTTTGGGGACTGGAGTTGTGGCTCAGTGGTAGAACACTTGCCTGGCATATATGAAGCCCTGGATTTGATCTTCAGCACCGCATATAAATAAATAAATATAAAAGATCCACTGACAACTAAAATATATATATATATATATATAACATTATATATATATATATATTAAAGTGGATTTGCACACCTCCATGTATCTGTGTGTCTGTGCCTGTGTGTTCAGATGGACCGAATGTGTGTGTAACACCCATGAGAAATGCCTAGAGGCATGAGTGGGGAGGTGAGCTACTTAGAGACCCAGCTTAGGCAAAAATGTGCTGGCAGAAGTTCCACAGAGTGTGTGCTAGGCAAGGAGAGTATTGACCATTTCCTGTCTAGAGCACAAAACCCAGATGGAGGGAGGGGACGATGGAGGCCTGGCTCAGCCCTGCAGGACATGGAAAGAGGTCTTCCATCCTGTGAAAGGGGGTCCCTGGGAAGGGGGCTGCAGACACACTCCCTGGAGCGTGTGAGCTGGGGCTGGATAATGGGGTGTGTGTGGATGAGCATTCAGGATAAGCACATCCGATCACTTCTCTGTCTTTGGGGGTCCAAATTTAGAGCTGAGGAGGGAGCCCCAGGGGTACTTGGCCTGGCTGGCTTCCCTTGTCCAACTCTGTGTGTCTGCAGGAGCCCCTGCTATAGCTGTCTGCCCTGAAAAATGCTGGAGGCTGGGCAAGGCCAGAGGCCGGGAAACCAGTTTATCCTGTTTGCCAGAAGAGCTCCCTGCGGCAGATCCAGGCCTGTGCATTCATGAGTGAGGAACCTGAGCAGCCTCTGAGCATCCTGAAGGTGAGAGCAGGGCCTGGTCAGGTACAGGTGTGTAAGGTGGGTCTGCTGGCTGGGAGGCTGGGCAGGTGCTGACATGTTGTCTAAGTGAATGAACTAAACCCAGGTTAGACTGAGGGAATCCTAAGGCCGCTGCCTTGCCCTGCTTCTTTGTTCCAGGGTGTGATGAATTCAGGCTTCGGTGTTGAGATTCAGCCCTTGATGTTGAGATTAGTTTTTCCAATTCTTGGCAGTGTGACCTTGAACAAACAGCTTAACTTCTATGGCAGTATCTACCAAGGGGTGGGAGTGGGGGATTCATGAAGATGCTTAATGGAAGCTGCTCGGCCTTGACTGGCTACAACAGAGCAAGAAGAATAGCAGAGGAGACTCCAGGATGGGAAACTATGAATCAGAGATGGGCCAGGTAAAAGCATGTGACTCGCCTAAGACATCTGTAGGATGCCTTCCAGGCCTGTCCAGAGAAGGGCAAGGTCTTCTGGGCTCCTGCAGCTATTGAAGGAGGGATAGTCCAGGGGCAGGAGAAGGCCCTGGGCAGGGTGGGCCACCAGGAGAGCTACAGTGATCCCTGACCACCAAAGAGAAATCTTTATGTATCACTGTCCTCCTATAGGCCCTCTGAGGAGAGAGAGAAAGGAGAGGCACCTCCATCAATCTCAGCTCCTCAGGGCTCTCACAACCTATTGTGTTTCTTTAACTCATTGGCTCATTCATTCTCTTTCCTGCAATAGCTGCTGTGATCAGGTCTCTTGCTGGGTCATAGGGACAGAAACCAGCCCTCAAGGAGCACCTAGCATGTATTGAGGTAGAGCTGGAAGGACCAATTAATTACTAACAAGACCTGAGGAACAGCCTGAGGAGGTGCCTGAGAGGGGAAGAGCTCCAGTCATGTGGTGACATTAGAAGAACCTGGAGCGTTGGGTAGGATGGGTGCAGTGTGTGTGGGTTCTGGAAAGAATTTCTAGACAGAAAGTACAGCATGAATAAAAGCAGGGATGCCTGGGAGGGCCCTCAAACAGCTCACATCTCTTTCCAGAATGGGAGCTCCTCAGGGTTGGGCCAGCCAGAACTGGGCACAATGGAGCCAATGAGTGGTGAGAGGGACCAGTGACAAAGTCTGGTGGAACAGTCCCTACAGAGCTCAGGGTGAGGGTCCAGGGCAGCAGGGATCAAGAGAGGCAAAAGGGAAGCCTGAGGGAGAGGGCTGGAGACATAGCTATCTTCCTAAAGTAGGGACTGGAGGCTAGGAAGATGGTCTCACAGTTGGTGAGTCAGCCTGTGGAGGGAGAGGGTGGGAAAGGTCAGTCTGGACCAGGGCCACAGTGATGGAGTCACCAGCTGGCCTGGAGGGTGGAGGCCAGGATGTCTTAAAACAGGTGGAAGGGGCAGCTCCCTCCGTTCACTGGGAGACAGGGAAGTCTCCACCCCTCCTCTCAGTGTCAGAGATTCCACCATTAGTTTCCAGCAGGAAATTTGGTGCAGGGCAATGGGCTGTTGACTAGGAAGGGATGCTGAGGGCCCTGACACCGCCTCTGAGGGGAGACAAGGCGGTCAGCACTAGAGCAGGAGCAGAGCAGCAGCATGGGAAGGACCAGGTGAGGAGGGAAGTTTGGAGGCTGTATTTCTCCAAGGCTGGGGGATTTGACCCATGAGAGGGCTGAGGTTCAGGAGGGTCTTCCCATCAGGGGCTCCTGCGATGATTTCCATCCTGCCTTCTGGGACTTTGGGGGGCATATCTTTGCCTTTCAGAGCAGGATACCTGTCCACTGCCTCCCAGCTGAGGGAGCTCTTACTGGTTACAGGGTGGGGTGGGGTGGGGTGGAAAGAGGAGGAAGGTGGCATCTCCCATCCAGGCAAGTGGAGCTCAGACCCCATGGGTATGACCCACACCCACAAGGGACAGAGTAGGGGAATGTCAGGATTGTGATGGTATGTAAAGAGAAACTAGCTGTGCCCAGAAGAGGCTAGATTTGTTCCATGAAAAAAGTTCCATTCTCTATCCCCGTCTCTTCCCTGGACTCTTTAGGAAGGTCACTGTCCCATCTGGTAGCCCCATAGGCTGAGGATCAGGACTGCTGGGTATAGATGTAGAAAGTGCCAGAATATAGGAATACCTAAAAAATATGTTGAATGATTGAGGAAGGAAATATGTCGGCCTCCCCAGAGACTGGGAAGATGAACCTAAGGAAGCCCTGGGATGCCTCCAAAGGAGCTGGGCTGCCCTGGCCAGAGACCCCTGAGCAGGCAGAGGGCACTTGATGTGCACTGGATCCATACAGCCTTGAAGGCCCCTTCCCATGTACATGAAATGATCCCCCTCTGCAACCCAGATCCTCATGTTCCAAAGCTCAGAATCCTAGGTTTCAAACCTTCTGATCTGGAGCTTGCAGACCAGGAACAGTACTTTTTTTTTTTTTTTTAAGACATATGGCCTTTGTCACACCCACTCAACTCTATAAACAGATGGGTATTGTTGTGTTCCAATAAAGCTAAAACTCTACTTCCAAAAAAAAAACAAAAACAAAAACAAAAACAGTGGGCTACAGGCCATTTGCCAACTTTTGTTGTGAATTTTAAAATTACATGAGGCTGATATCCAAGGATCTGAAGCATTCTTGAGGTTTCAGGGTTTGGAGACTTGGAGTCCAGGGAGAGCTGCTAACCAGATAGGGGGAAAAAAACAACAACGCCCTTGAACCTAGGCAAATCTTAACAAGGGAATCTGTGAGCCCTCTGTGTCTGTCCTGGCCCTGGTCAGGGGCGCCAGTCAGGCATTCCCACAGAGCCCGAGCCCTAACCCTGATGGCGGTCCTCTCAACCCTCCCTTCCTCGCAGGGTGATGGAGGTGGGCCTGGACCTCTGGAATGACACCGTCAATGACACCTGGGATGGGGATGAGCTGGGCTACAGGTGCCGCTTCAACGAGGACTTCAAATACGTGCTGCTGCCTGTGTCCTACGGCGTAGTGTGCGTGCTCGGGCTGTGTCTGAACGTCGTGGCGCTCTACATCTTCTTGTGCCGCCTCAAGACCTGGAACGCCTCCACCACGTACATGTTCCACCTGGCTGTGTCCGACGCTCTGTACGCGGCTTCCCTGCCGCTGCTGGTTTATTACTATGCCCGCGGCGATCACTGGCCCTTCAGCACGGTGCTCTGCAAGCTGGTGCGCTTTCTCTTCTACACCAACCTCTACTGCAGCATCCTCTTCCTCACCTGCATCAGCATTCACCGGTGCTTGGGGGTCCTGCGCCCTCTGCGCTCCCTGCGCTGGGGCCGGGCCCGCTACGCCCGCCGGGTGGCAGCGCTGGTGTGGGTGTTGGTGCTGGCCTGCCAGGCACCTGTGCTCTACTTTGTCACCACCAGCGCACGTGGGAGCCGCATCACCTGCCATGACACCTCGGCCCCTGAGCTCTTTAGCCACTTTGTGGCCTACAGCTCGGTCATGCTAGGTCTGCTTTTCGCCGTGCCCTTTGCCACCATCCTGGTCTGTTACGTGCTCATGGCACGGCGGCTGCTTCAGCCAGCTTATGGGAGCACAGGAGGCCTGCCGCGGGCCAAGCGCAAGTCGGTGCGCACCATTGCCCTGGTGCTGGCTGTCTTCGCCCTCTGCTTCCTGCCTTTCCACGTCACCCGCACCCTCTACTACTCCTTCCGCTCGCTTGACCTCAGCTGCCACACCCTCAATGCCATCAACATGGCATATAAGATTACCCGGCCGCTGGCCAGCGCCAACAGTTGCCTTGACCCTGTGCTCTACTTCCTGGCCGGGCAGAGGCTTGTCCGCTTTGCCCGAGATGCAAAGCCACCCACAGACCCCAACCCTACTACCCCGGCTCGGCGCCGGCTGGGCCTGCACAGGTCTGGCAGAACTGATGCCAAGAGGACAGATTTGTCAGCCAGCAGTGAGGACTCCAGGCGGACAGAGTCCACACCGGCTGGGAACGAGAACACTAAGGACATCCGGCTCTAGGACCTGACCCCTCAGGCCTGTGCAAGTTTATATGGAGGGAGCTGTAAGGGACCAGGGCTTGTTCAAATGGGACAGTGTACCCAGAAATTGACCATCTGTGACTGTCACTTGGCAGGGCCTCGGGATACTTTCCTTACGGTCCAGACAGTCAGCTGCCATCATTTGTATGTGTGAGTTGGGTAATAAGATTTCAAAACAGACACATGTTTAGGGCCAGTGCCACCTGACTCCCATGCAGATGGTTGGCTGATCCTGTCAAGGTATCTAGACTGGAATCCAGCCTGATCAAGTCAAATGGAGAAGGCCCTGAGAGGAAGGAGATGTACCAGGGTCAAACAGCAGTCTAGACCTGAGATAGCTACAGTGGAGCAGAGTCACAGGTTAATCAGAGGGCCCTGGTGAGGAGTCAGGGTCGAGCTCCCACAGCAGTCTGGGGTGGGACTACGTGCTTAGTGGACTCAGCTTAGAAGAGTACTCCTAGCCCGAGAGATGAACATCTGGGAACTGATGTGATAAACCCATCTGGAGGCTCCCAGCCTACAGCCTACACTTAGAGGCTGTAACTGAAACTAAAGATTATGCTGCTTGTTGAGCTGTGCTCTGTTGTTTGGTCAGAGGATGGGGATGCAGCCTGGGAGGGTTTCAACACCCCTTAAAAGCCTTTCTCCAGCCTGTTCTCTTCTGCCATCTGCTTTCCCACTGGCTGCTTCAGGGGAGTTTCACATCAGGGATCCCTCTGTAGGCCTCAGGTGCTCTCCCACTTTAAAGCCAGTTGGTTTCTGTGCCAAGAGTCAGGTGGGGTTCCAGTCCTTGGAGTTCCCCAATTTAGGTAACAACCAGTTATATGCTGGTTATTGTTAAACCTTTTAAGTAGATCTCTGGCAGCAGGGAACCCCTTATTTGTAGCATTGCCAATGATACAAATATTCCTACTATACACAATTTCAAATTACCAAAGCAATGGCAACCTCTTTGCAAAATTCCTGAAAATTTGACTGTTGACAAGTACAAGTTGCTCCAGCATACCTCGGGATGATGCTGAGTGGTTGGGGCTGTGGGCCAGCAGGTCAGGGAATGCTGGAGTGGTGGGTGCTCCTGAGCTGTGGCTTCTGAGAAAGCAGTTCACTGAAACATCCAGGTACCAGACAATCCTAAACAAAGACATGCAGATAGAGGGTGGGTGTGCAAGGGACCATAGCAGGTTGGCAGGTGGCACTCAGGCTCAAGAGAAAGATAAGGCCACGGGCCAGATCACAAGGAGGCTGAGCCAGTCTTCCTTCTTTTTCCGACCACGAAGCTTCCTTTGCACTGGCTAAGTGAGAGAGAGAGAGTCACGTCTCTTCCCATCTAGGCCTTGGCCTTCTGGGAAAATCCCAGCTACAGCTGATGGTTGGTGTTCAAGCTGGGTTAACATAGGGGGTAGGTCTCACTTGTGACAAGTGTTGGGTCCACTCTGAGCTGATTTATGGAGCTCAACTAGCCAAGGCCAGGGCCAGGGAAGAACAACAGGCTTCACTTTTGACCTCCAGGACAGGAACTCAGTTGTCTCCCTCTAGGAGAACCCTTGCCCTGTGAGCCCCCTCTGCCCAAGAAAAGGGCCCTTTTCCTCACCCCACCTCTACCTGCCTCCTACAGTATCTCCACCCTTTCCACTCTGCTTTGCCAAAGGCAGGGCATCCCCAGGGGTTGCTCTGTTTATGCTTGTTGTTCTGAGAGTCTCGCTACATTGCCCAGGCTGGCCTCAAACTCCTGGACTCAAGTGATCCTCCTGCCTCAGCTTTTGAAGTAGCTGGTACCATAGGCATGGGGTTGTTTTACTTAAAGCCCCATTCTACACCTCCCTCAGGTGACAGGGACTGGTTACAGGCCATGACCCAAGTGATTACTTTATATTGTGCAATCCTGGGTGACCTGCCCAGAAGAGTGTGAGATGTTCACCTGCCACCTTCTAGGTTCTATATTTTTGTTAATGTAGCCAGAGCTTCTTGGATCTTTCTTGGTTACTACCTCACACAGACTGTCCTGGGTCTTTTTGGTAGGCCAGAGCCTATCTTTTCCTACTCACTGCTGTGCAGGCTGAACCCCATCAGTGTTTATATGGAGTCCCTCTGAAGCGAGAAGCTCTGATGGCCAGGAGTGTGAAGGCTGACTCTGACCCTCACCCCTGCTGAGACCTAGAGATGGGGAGTTGCACATCATGACTTTGGGACACTTTACTGTGCATCTGTGGTTGGCTGCCAGGACCCTGGATTCCCCTAGTCCCCATTCCTTTCATGTCCTGCCCACCTACCCCTCCTGCCCACCTACCCCTCTCAGTGACCCTGAGAGCCCAGTGCCCCAAGTGGAGGCAGGCAATGCTATGGTTTGGTCCTAGGAAGCTTTCCTTGAACAATTGCTTGCAGATTTCTAAGGATCTGGGACTGGAGGGACGGGTGGCTCACCCACCATCTATTCCTGTGGCAGGCATGAGTGGGGTGAGAAATGGAGACCCTAGGGGACCCAAGGACAGGACCCAGGGTCCCACCTCCAGACCTCAACCAGACTGTCTGGCCCTCTATATGGACATCTGGCCTTGCTGCTCAGTGCCCAGTCCACACGCCTGGTGGCTGAGGTTCCTCTGATTCCTGTGCTATTTTCAGCCCAAGTAAGACCAAGATTTTCCACTCCTGGCCCCAGACCATTGTCCAACAGTGACATGGGGTGACCTGCCTATCCTTAAAATATCTCCCCTAACCTCTGGACCTCCCTGCCCTTTCCCTTTCTCCCCACCCTGACATCACTTCCTAGGGCTGTTGACTACTAAAGGACACTGTGAAAGGCCACATGAGTCGCCCAGCCTGCTAACAGGACCCCAGGGATTTTCCAGCCCAGCCACAGGCCTCAAGGCCAGAAAAGGGGCGGGGTCTTGTCCAAGGTCACTGAGCAGGTCAGCGTGGCGCCTGGATGTGGGCCAGAGGCTCAGACTGCTCCTGCGGCTGTGCCACCCAGTCTGGAGCAGATCAGTGCCTGTGTAGGAATCCTGTGTCACCCACACTGCACAGCTCTTTCCCAGAGCCAAGGGGCAGAGGCCAGGGACATAGGCAGGGGGCCGGAGGGAGTGAGGTGAGAGTCAGGCTTGCTGGCCTCTCTGCAGCTGCTTTTTCAGTGACCTCTGTGTGACAGTGCATGGCCCCTGGCACATGGGAGTCTCTCCCCTAGGTGGCAGGCATCCCCTGACTCGCGGGGGATCCACAGGACAGTCCCACATCCAAGATTAAGAAAGACCCTCGATGACATGCTCCCCACACATGGCTGTTCCAGTCTAGTTCCCGGTCAAGCCACCAAAGCTGCCTTTCTGTCCACCTCATCATGGCAGATTTGGGCTGGTCTGTTTCACATCAGGCACACAGGGCATGGGGTGGGGCTGGGGACTCAGGTATTGACCCATGTCCCAAGCACCATGCAAGACTTTCCCAGGCATCATGTTGTTTATCCTTCATGCCCACCTCAAACAGTGGACATTAGTCTCTGCATTTAGCAGTGAGGACAGAGGAGAGGGGAGCCAAGGGCTTGCTCCAGGTGACACACACAGCAGGTGAGACCAGGGCCCCCTGATGTTCCCATGATTCCCTTCCCAGTGTCCCACACCACTCAACCTCTGCAGGGCAGGAGGGTCTGGATGCCACCCTTGGCATGATTCAGAACCAGGAAGCCCGTCCAGCAGGGATGGGGTTAGGAGCCCAGATTCTGCACCAAGACCCACCTGGGTTGCAATGTCACCTTCCATTTTCCAGCCATGGCACCTTGGGTGAGTTAATCCTGTAGTGCCTCGATTTCCTTATTTAAGTGAGATGCTACCTCCCTTGCAGGGCTTTAGGAAGCTCACCAGAGTGACCCACGAAGTGCTTAGTGCAGTGCCTGGCGTGTGGTATTTCCACACCTGACACTGAACTAGGAACCATGGAGGCAAGTGGGGGTGGGACGGTGGGGGGGCTGCCTTCCCGAGGTTGATGTAATTTAATAAATACACACACTGAGATAAATGTTTGAAGAAGAAGACAGTGTGCCTGGCCAGCGAGCAGCCCCTGGGGGCCTGATGCCCAGTACCCCTGAGGCTCAGGTTTCCCCAGGCTGTGGCAGGAGGGAAGCAGGAACATCCTGGTTGAGGTGTGGCCCTCCCTCTGCCCTGCCTGGCCCTGGTGGCTTTCAGGCACACAAGCCTGTATATATTTCCAGAACTTTTTCCAGGTGCCTACCTGGAGGGCAACAGAGAGGGGACAGTGGAAGGCGGAAGCAACCGAGGAAAGTACCCCTAATTCAAGCTGCAGGAGCCAGCCCCTTTGGGGTAGAGAGCTCTGGCCCACTTGGCAGCAGGCTTAGGTATTTCTTTCTCGCTGGCAGTGCCCACCATGGTGGTCTGCAGCCACCCCTTGGTTCAACAAAGATCCAGGATGGTAGGAGTGGCCTGGAGTTGGTCCAGAGGGGGCAATGATTGGGCAGCTTTTGCTGTGTGACCTGAAACCACCTGCCTCTCTTTCTGGGCTGCCGCTTCCCAATTCCAGTTTTCCCCACCTCAGGTAAGGCAACCACTGCTACCTACACCTTCAGGGTCACGAACAACCAAGCCCACTGGGCTGTCAATTCAGGGGACTGGCAGTGAGCCCTCCCAGGGTCAAGTGACCAGAGAGACGGAGTGATCATGGCCACCACACAGTGCCACACTGTAGAAAGCTGGGCTGCTCCTGCCTCCAGTGAGCGGAGGGCGGAGCTGGATCAGGAGCGACTGGGTTACAGGGTGGAGGTTGTGTTGGGGTGAGAGGAAGTGTGGGAATCAAGCCCCCCAGGAACATTCCTACCCTCCTCTGCCCTGCTGCTCTGTGCCTGGGCATGCCACTTCTCCTCTCCGGGCCTCAGGTGCCCATCCTGGATCACACTGGACTCTGCTCAGCTCCTCTTCCTTCTGGAAGGGCTTTCTGGGCTTGCCTATGTTGGATCCAGCTCAGCCAGGTGTCTGTCTGGGCCCTGTCCCAACCAGGAACAATGGGCCAGGCGGGGACAGTCACTCTTCAGTAGAACCATGTTCCATCCACTCCCCTAGACTATTTTCAGCCTTTGCAGAGGGAGTCAGAAAAGGATTTTCCACTCCCAGCACAATGACTGCCCTGGACCATTGTCCAGCATTGAGTGGGTGATCCACCCGCCCCAAAATATCCCCTACCCTACCCTCTGGACCTCCCTACCCTGCTGCTCATCCTGACATCATTTCCTTGAACTGTTAACTCCTGAAGGCTACTGTGGAACAGCAGGTGAGAACTCTGAGGCACATGACCAGTTGAAATGAGTTTCTTTCCTGGCAGGGACCTCAGGGATTGTTTGGCTGCTGAGTGAGACTATAGGTTCAAAGAGGGCTTTGCCTCATCCAAGGTCACATAGCAGTCAGGATGGAGCCTAGTGGGAGCCCAGCGCTCTGTGACTGCTCCTGCTTCCTCATTAACTCCAGTCTGTGTCCAGAGGAATTGAGTGCTTCCATCTTTGAAGATGTAGGATGGGCCTCCAGGGAATAAACCTGAGTGGTATGAATAGCAGGGCTACTTCTTGGGTTCTAACAGTGGAACAATGAATTCAGTGCAGGGACCTGAGTTTAAAGTCTGTTATTCCCCATTTTGGTCTCATTTTTACCAAAAGTAGGTATTAAGGAGTAAATGTGTCCTTCACCTGTTGAAATCCAAATTGGAAAGTTGATGGTTTTAGGAGGTGGGGGCCTTGAGAAGTTAAATTAGGTCAAGAGAGTATAGTGCTCACAAATGGGATAAATATCTGTGTTGGTCAGCTTTCTATTACTGTAACAAAATACCTGAGATAACCAATTTGTAGGGGAAAAAAGTTTATTTTGACTCACAGTTTTAGAGGTTTCAATCTATGATCTGTTGGTTTTGTATTTTGGGCACTGCAGTGGTACATCATGGCAGGAATGCCTG